GACAAGTCCTTCCTCACTCCCCACATTGAGCTGAGCATATCCTCTTGTGTTCCTTTGGAATCTGATCATGAGAATTGAGTAAAATGTTTTAGAATCACTGTGTTGATAGTATGCAGACAAACTTGAAAGAAACTTGATAGAAGTTTTTTCCAAAATTGACAACAGTCCTAAAAGTTTACATGACTATACCAATAATGAGAAGTAAAGATGAAAGAAAAAAATGAAACTTTTCTCTATGCTATCAGAAAAGAAAGTCATCATTATGCTAGAGGAAAATATTATACAGAAAATATTATAGAATTGTTTGAAATCAGGGAATGTGATGCCTCTGCCTTTGTTCTTTCTCAGGATTGCTTTGGATATTCAGTTTTTTTGTGGTTTCATACAAATTTTAGGATTTTTTTTCTACGGTGGAGAATGCCATTGAATTTTTATAGGAATCACATTGAATCTATACATGGCTTTGGGTCATAAGGACATTTAAACAATATTAATTCTTCTGATCTATAAACATAGGCAGGATGTCTTTCCATTTGTTCATGTCTTCAATTTCTTTCATCAGAGTACTCTACTGTTCGATGTAGAGATCTTTCACCTCCTTGGTTAAGTTTAATCCTAAGTATTTGATTGTTTTTTCATTATTTCTTTTTCAGATGTATTATTATTAGTGTATAGAAATGCACATGATTTCTATATGTTTATTTTATATCCTGCAGCAGTATCTAATTTGTTAATTAGTTACAACAGCTTTTTGGTTGAGTCCTTGGGATTTTCTATATACAAAATTATATTACCTGCAAATAATGACAGTCTTACTTTTTTTTCTTTCTGATTTGGATGACTTTTCTTCATCTTGCCTAATTGCTCCAGCTAGTACTTCTACTACTATATTTGGATAAGAATGAAGTGGACATTGTTGTTTTGTTCTTGATCTTAGAAAAATAGCTTTCAGTTTTTCCCCATTGAGTATGGTGTTAGCTGTGGGCTTGTCATATGTGGCCTTTATTATGTTGAGGTATGTTCCCTCTGTACTCATTCTGTTGAGGGCTTTTTTCATGAAAGGGTTGCATTTTGTCAAATGTTTTTTGCATCTATGGATCATGTGATTTTTATTTTTCATTCTATTAACCTGATGGATCACACATATTGATTTAAATATGTTGAACCATTCTTGCTTTCCAGGAATAAATGTCACTTGGTTCTGCTGTATAATTGTTTTGTTTTTTTTTAAGATTTTGTTGGGGAGTTGGGGGAAGGAAACAGCATTGGGATATCGGGGAAGGGAAACAGACAAGTTGCTGTCCTTTTGTTCTTCAGTCTAGTTGTGGGGGACATTGCTTCACTGGCCCATGTTGGTATTATCATTGCGCTGTTTCCGAGGGAGGCAGTTGCTAGCCGGCCATTGGACCACCGTAGCAGGGGCTGCAGCCTATGCTGTCGCTGGCGACTCATGGCAGCCCCGCTCCAGGTTGACCTGTTGTTCAGCATCTTAGCTGTAGAGGGCGCAGCGTCATTTGCCCTCATGTGGGATCCGAACCGGGGCCCTGTTACACAGAGTTGGCGTCCCAAGCCAACTCTTAACCAGCATGCCACTGGGCCGGCTCTGCATAATTCTTTTAATGTGCTCTTGAATTTGATTTGCTAATAGTTTATTGAGAATTTTTGCATCTATATTCATCAGGGATATTGGTCTATAGTTTTCTTGTACTTATCTGGCTTTGGTGTCACGATAATGCCAGTCTCGTAGAATGAGCTTGGAAGTGTTCCCTCCTCTTCAATTTTCAGGAAGAGTGTGAGAACATTTGACATTAGTTCTTTAAATGTTTGGTAAAATTACCAGTGCACCTATTTGGTACTGGTGTTTTTTTGTGAACACGCTGCATCTTACGACAGCTTTAATTGTAACCTTTTGTGGCCCGTTCTTATTCTTGAAAAATTTAGACTAAGTGGGTGATGATTACATAATTATTCAAATTATCAAAAGAAGCAACAAATTAAAGGAGACATTTCTTGAAATAAGTTT